TGGTCCTAAACCGAATCCCCCACCCACCAATGGCATTTAAACCAAATGGGGACTCGACTTAGGTCCCCAAATGCACCAGTTGTCCCCAAATTTAGGCGTTTTGTCTTGAAATTGCCCCCAAATGTTACCAAAAACAAACTGACACGCGCGCACACACACAGACAAGACAGGGAGGCACTGTGTATTATTAGGCAGAGCATCAGCAGGCTGTCATGACAACTGATCAATGAAACTATTCCATTTGGCTGGCCATCCTTCTCCCTCCATGTGCAAACACACGGTTTGTTCTTTCCCTGACTATGAGAGAGCAGTTATCCTCTGTAAACTGCTGACAGCTTCACAAAACATCCCACTAGGGCCACTACACTACAGCCAGACATGGTCAGCATTTAGGCCTAACTGACTGGATTTACTACAGTTCTGTTCTCATGTGAGACCAGACAAGTGGCAACGATGTTTAAATTTCCTTTTTAAATGAAACTCCCCTTTGTTCATTTTAAAATAACAGAAACATTGGCAGTTTCATTCATATATTGTTACATGCTGTTAAGAGTTTGTTTTTTTAGGCTCTAAAACAAGAAATATCTGCACCCTGACATTAACTCTAGCTTTTTGCTTCAAAGAATATCAAATAAATAAAACAGATCTATGTTAAATATATGATATGTGCAAAAAATTCATGAAGCACTTTGGGAACACATTATCAGGTTTGAATGAAAAATCAATTTTGAATCGAATCGTGGCCCCAAAAATCAGACTTGAATCAAATTGTGAGATAGTAAAAGATTCTCACCCCAAATAAATTTCATTGTGCTTTCAAGATTTATTTTCTAAATCATTTTCTATGACTTGGAACCACAATAGTAAGAATCTGGCTAATCTTTACAGCAGTTATTGTTAACAAACACCCAACATGTGCACCCTTACACATGCATCTGACTATATTCATAAAAAGTAAAAAAGGATGATAAGTGCCATCCAGTTATAAAGCAAAAATTGAACTGCGTCAAACCAGCCACAATTACTAGAAACATAATTAATCAAAGACCAACTCCTGCACCGTACGCATGGAAAAATCCTGGCCTTGAGCAAAACCTGTTGTTGCACACCTTCATAAAATGATCATTATGTTGACTGAGCGAAAACATTTCTACTGATGCAAAATCACAAAAGAGATGAGTTGTCAGTGTGTTGAGTATTTTCATCCTGTCTCACTTGGTTTGCTGAAAGGTATTTTACGATACTTAGTAAAAAATAAAAGCTCCTCAATACCAAGTTTCATAGCATCTCAAGATTGTATAGTTTAATTTTATCTCAATATATTTTGCTTTCATAMTGAAGGTTTTCTTTTGGGAGCGAGAAAATTATTTTAAAAATGTAAAAAAAGCTTTGTGGTAAGGGCACTTCATCGTGAAAAAAACTTGKATTTTGGATTCCACAGACAGATATTTTCTAACTTTAAGAATTGGCTTTAAACATTCCTTTTTAGTAAGGTCTTTGTTAAGTCTAGCCTGGGTGATCTTGAGCTATCCTGTCAGTTTTGCAGCTATATGATCACCTCATCCCATTACTCTTCTTTCTTTACTTTTAATTTGGGTATTTTCTGTTATCGTTAGCATTGTCTTTTTTCCCATAGCAGGTATTTTTGGCCTTTTTTTTTGACCTCTAAACACCCAGCTGGTTGATACAGATGGCCACCCTTTCTGAGAAAGGTTCTGCTTGATGTCTTTGTGTGAAAAGGGAGTTCTCTACCTCTTTGAAACCCACTGCACTTTCCACACTCAAAATGGGGCATTGAATTAAATCAAATCATAATTTWTAGTGAAACTAGCTGCAGTAAACATAAATAAATTGCATTTTACTGACTGCTAAGACTTTAATTAGAATAAGGGCTGTTTATAAGTTTTACTTTAAGCATAAATTGCCCCAAGGTAACCTTTGTGTCAGTTTAATGAGAATAAAGTGCAAAATATTGTTTTCTTTTGGCTGCTCCCTTCTCCAGGGGTTGCCACAACAAGCAAACTTGCTTATAATATTTTGCCTTTTTTTTTACTCCAGATGCCCCTCCTGACACAACCTGAGCTCAAATATGCAGCCTTTAGGATTACGAGACCACTATACTAATGTACGAACTACCAATGCCTCTGAATCAAACAACAACTGTAAACAAGGACTGAATAGGTTTGCTGGAAAACACCCAGAAATAACCCATTGCTCCATAACAGTTGTTGTGTTTACTGTTAGCACAAATCTGATAAACCCCATTTTCAGCTCTTTTCTTCTCTTCTTTGTGTTATTATGCACTAATTAAAGCAATCATCACTCCTAATGTACATGAATATTTTTCCCAATCCACATGTAAGACACAGACTCTTGAATTCACAAAGTGCTGCACAAAATAGCTCAGTAAAAAAAAAAAAAAAAAAAAAAAAAAACTAAGTGTGATTCTGCCACGTTGAAAAGCTTAAAATAACTGCATCCAAAAGTGCACTGAGGCAGAAATGTAGACAAAAATATAAACTGTCTTCCTGGTTACATTCCTAGTGATGTCAGAACACAGCGCTGACAAAAATACTGACAATTGAGCACAAATGTGTGCACCCACCTTTAAATCTACACAGGAAGAAATGCTCGTTCAYACACACTAAAACACTCACATATTTTCACAGGAGGGGACATGTTCATTGATCTAGAAATGATCCTAAGCTAAAACAAGTACAAAGTACTGAAAAGCACAGCTATGCCCTGACAGGTGTGTGGGTGCATGATGTTAGTGCCCATGTCCATACCTTTCCTTGCCTACAAGTGTGTGTGTGTGTGTGTGTGTGTGTGTGTGTGTGTGTGTGTGTGTGTGTGTGTGTGTGTGTCTTCTTTTTCCTTGGATTTATGTGCATACATGACACAAGCTGAAGCGCTTTCTGCTTGTGTCTGAGTCCACATCATTTTATGTAAGTCCCTCCAGGTGAGCGCTCCGTGTGTGTGTTTGAACATGGTGCCCGGTATGTGTGTTTGCTTCTGGGCAGTACCAGTTCAGGTCACTGATTCTTGTTATTTCATGTTGAAGTTTAGGCAGCGATGGTGTGCGTTTGTATGCATTTCTGGTTAGGAGGGACGCAATGTGAAATMTTTTGTTGTTTTACATCAGAAAGCAGTTTCTCTAAAGCAAATATTTTTAACATTCCAACAGTCCAATCTTTTGTGTTGACAGTTGTGCTTTTATTTCCCCTTACTTTTGTATTCTAGGTGAAAACCTGCTGCCACCACACTGATGTCACTCTGAAAGTGCAGAAGAAGCTGATTGGATGTTGAGTTAAGAAGAGCAGGTGCTGTTGTTCCTGAAAAACACACACACAAAACGTTAGAGAACTTGATAACCTTGTTTTGAAGCTCACTTTACAAACTTATACAGCAAATGTTTTATTAATAAAATTTGRCATGTACAGTTTGCTTTGCCAAAGATTATAAACAAAAAAATACATGACAAAAGTACTGCAGCTCCTATAAAATTTGTTTTAATAACTTAACGTGGCATAAATATTTGGTAGGCACAGTAAAACCATCAAGTAATAGTTCACAACTTTTGAAATGGAATTTTTTAATATAAATTCTATAATCAATGAGTATTCTGTCTGTTATAAATGGCACCTTAAATGACTTCCTTTTGGAAAAATGGAGTTTAATTCTGAGTAGAGTGAAGAGCTAATAACAAGTAAAAACAGGTCCAAGATCAAAGTGAATTGCTGCCAAAAGAATTCAGTGGATCATGCAAACATTAATTTACAAATTAGTAACTTTTATGTGTACAGTTGTTTAAAAATAATACAATTCGCTGTAAATAATCAAATATTGTAAAATGGACGAGGCCATAAATGCTTTTAAGATAACTTTTGGATGAAAGTTGTGAGATGAAGTTGTAAAACAACAGCAACCTTTGATTTTGGCACTTCTCAGATTGGAGTATCTGAAGATCAAATGTGAAAAAAAAAACAGACAAATATTCTGACACCACTTGTGTAATAAGAAAGTTCATATGCACAATGGCATTTCTTCAAAGGAGCAATATCATGTAAAATCAACTTTTTTTGAGATTTATATCATGTTATAATRTTATAGTCTCATAAAAAAACATGCTCAAAGCCTTGCTTTGACTCATTCATGCATGTTTGAGAAATCCTGCAG